GCCTCATCTAAGCCATGACACTTGCCTCCAAATTAAATCATGTTGAGATGACTAAGCTACTTCTTAATTGGCCACGTGGCTTTTGAAAAATGAGGAGGAAAAGAGCTTCCTTAGGACTTAGGAATTAAAAGGAGCACCTTGAACTTAAACATACATATACGACCTTAACATAAAATTGAGGCAAATTGAGTATATATCTCACGACATTTGAGGAAACAATTAAAAAGGCTACGGCTTTTTAACATTAATTAGGTGATTAATGTTTAATTAATCACTTAATTATGTTTTATTAACTTTTAAGCATGATACTTAATTACCAAAATTATTCCGAACGTAAACGGTACGTCGAAAATAAATTTCGGTAATTCCGACTGAACTTAATTAATTCCAAAAATAATAAACGATAACATTATTATATCAGAATTAAAACATAATTTATACCGATAAACTATCGGGATATTACACATAGCGGCCTAAAGAACTCCACAAACGAAAAGAAGGGAAAATGAAAAACATAGCCACTGCACAATGCCTAGCCAGTATTCATTTCCAACACAAAGACAGACGAACCACACATAACAAAATTGAGATTTTGATATAATTTGAAGTTAGTATGCAAATTGATATCATGATATCAAGATGAGAATGATTAAGCGGCATATATGATTTATTTCAAGTTAAAGTCTTTAAGAGAAGTTGATATAAAATGATCATGATGAGTAAGTTGATAAAAGTATAAAATTTAGAGCATTTATGATGAGTTAAGTTTAATATGTTAAGAATGAAATTTCATAAATTGTTTTAAGTTTTGGTGTTATGATTTGAAGTTGAGTTTTATGAATAATACCAATTAAGACAAGGTTAGTAAGTTATAATTCATAAGAATGATGTTGGTAAAAGATAAGTATGTTTGAGTTTATGTATAATTTGAGTTATTTTCAAGCCAACATCTAAGTTTTATCAAGTATGATTAATATGAGTTATGGCATTGAATGAAAGTTGAAAAGATTTAAAGTTATTCAATGAATTTATTTGAGCTATAGCATGTTTACAATTCGGATAAGTTATAAGTTAACAGTTAAAGTTAAGAATATCAGTATCTTATTGAGTATTCGAGCATAGTACTTAGTATATTTGTTTATATTTTTATGAAGCGTTGCAAGTCGGCTACGAGAACAACACTTACAAACAGTTTTTCAAGAAGAAAGGTGGGGACCCAGACTGGGTATTACATTGAGTATAATAGCTTTTATCATGTTCGAGGTATGTATAAAGTTAAGTAAAGTATTAAACTCGCCCAATCGAGACTGGGTTCTGTGGTAGGCAACCCCCAGAATATGATCACGTGAGAACCGGCCCAAGTTACCGGTAGTTGCAAAGTTTAAGGTAAAGTTA